CAACAGGAAAAAGTCACAAAACATTTATAAATCCAAAAAATATTTAGTGCAGATTGTTTTGTTTTTTTACTGGTGATCACATGGCCAATTGTATTTTAGGAATGATCAGCTCCTGCAGCTTTCTTTTCTTTCTTAAGTGTTTCCTAATGTTAACAGTGTAGAAAATGTCACATCAAGGGATAGTTTGGGTGTTTAAAGTGGGGTTTTATAAAGGTACTTATCCATAGTCAGTGTATTACCTAGAGTAGATGATGGCCGGCAGGGGCGGACTGGGAAACGGTGGACCTCTGTCGCCTGTCAGCGCAACTTCAATGATGCCGTTTAAAAACAGCAAACCGACCCGGCCGTTCGGTGATTCTACAGATGGTCAGTCCGCCCCTGCCGGTACCGAAGTGGGCCGAGTGGCCCGACTGGCCCATCGGGATTCGCCCCGAACGTCCCGATGGCCAGTCCGCCACTGATGGCCGATATGCCCCAAGCTTGGAGATGCAGACAGGAGCAACCACCTGGAAGCAAAGCAATGTACTGCTCTGGACATGGTCAGCAGAAAAACATATTTTAGCCACCTCTTGATGATTTCCATATCCTTTCACTGTTTGCATAGCAATACCATATAGGACATTGAGAATTGATAACACTTGTAATATGGCAAGAAATCTTACTTGAGGATCTCTGGCTGCTGTTTATTCTTGGTCGGTTGCAATTACTGGTACTGCAGCTACAGTAACAGCTGAGGGAAAAAAAGAGACACAAGTTTGCACATGCTTAAGCAAAAATAACTTAAATAACACAGCAGCAGCTTTAAGTACAGTAATACCACTCAGAGTTCCCGTTATGACCGGTAAAATATGCTGAAGACCGGCAAATCGAAATCTCTCCGGTCAAAATGTCTGGTCAAAATAATTTCCCTTTAGCACAATACCGCATCAGTTGCGCCACTTATGTGACAGACAAGAATAGTATGTGACAGACAAGAATAGTCAATTCTAATGTCTAACATTTAATATGGAGAAAGAGTGTCCTGTATGGGTTGATTGTGCGTTGATCTGTTGGTAATGCCTCGGGGTTCCGGTGGGCATGTAAACAAATGCATAATGCTGCGCTATACTTTGCGGCCTCACCCGGTTGCATAGCGACGCTTATTGTTTAGGTGTCTTTTAATAAGCTGGTAGTCATATCATTAGCTAGAACCAGCTAGATCTGATCGATATGGACATAAACGCGAGTGAAGTCTAATCTGACCGGAGCAAGAGATCAGCTGCTGCTGACGAGTCGACACCCAGCTCTGCATGATCATCTGCAGCGGTGAGCGGAACAAAACACACACTTCAGGTTAGAATATCACGTAGCTATTTGAATTACCTCTCAAACTACCTAAACTAGTTATAGATATGTTTAGTTTTACTGGGTTGCTCATTACTGGATCCGCGAGCTGCATGATACTGACGGGCTGTCAGGAGAGGGAGAGAGAGCGCTCCGTTTATTATTCCCGTGTTATAAATTACTGTACACGTTTGAATAATGTAGTTAATCTACTAGAATTAGTTTGTTTAATATCGAATCATATCAATTTGACCTGAGTACTTCTACTCTTATTCAAGTACAAGATCAGAGAACTTCTCCCACCTCTGATTATAGCCTTAACATAGGATTTAAAAGATATGGATAATGTGCATTGTGTGTAACATTATGCCCACAAAAAAATCGATTATAAAACTAAGGATTGAGCTAACATTAGGAGTTAGTGACAATGTATGCTAGTTAGCTAGCTTAACTATTTATTAAATAATATTGCGAAAAAGTAACTCTGAAACATTCACTGCACATCAGCTCAGCCACTCGAGCACCATTAAAAAATTAAAAATGAACACCCTGCATAATGACGGCATAGAACAGCTCAATTTCAAAGCATGGTAGCTAGCTGCTACCGTAGCTAGCTAGCTGCTACCGTAGCTAGCTAGCTGCTACCTAGCTATGGTAACGTTAGCTAACATTACTTTGTTTTCGGTCGTTAAACAAAATGTATACCATAGCTAGGACTTTGACGTTTGCAATGTTTTAAGTCTTGAGTGTTTTGAATCCGTTGATAAATAGTTTTTACCGTTACCTCTGAAAGTGCTGATTCCTCTCCTCTGGGCGCGCCACGTGCAGTGCTCTTCACCTCCTGCGTGCTAACTGAGTGGTCTGTAGTATCAGTGCCTTTGTGCATGCGCTCTGTCTGCCTCAAAGCGTGATGGGTAAGTGCAGCAGAAGTCTCGTCTCTGATTGGCTGCAAATCGATTGCCCTGAAAATCCTTTGATGAACATCCAATCCTTGTATTATTTTAAGAATTGGTAACGCCACACCATAAAGATTAATTTAAAAGTAAAAAAATGGGGTGCAAACTATTTACATTGCAATTATAATTGTTTAATTCTTTGGATTTTATTTTCTTAATTTACAAAATGACAATGTAAGTAGTTGATAAATAATAAAACAAACACTGAAGGCCTTCCAAAGACACAAGCAAAATATGTTATAAGACTTCTTTATTGTCAGTTTATTCTTTTAAATTGAGAATAGAGAACACTGATAACTAATGTTGGTGCACATTTATATAAGTTTGATTATGATCAGGAATATCCCATCTGTACTTTGCAGTCCTGTCCCAAGTACAAGTTAAGTAGGTATTAATCAACGTGTACATATCATTTTTAGTCATGCATAGTACTGCCTTCCTGTTTGCTTTATTTTTGAGAAACCTATTCTGCACCTACCTGGGTTTTAAGAGAGTCCAATACCCCATGAGACTGTTCAGTCTCATAAAACATGCTCAATTTACTTTTTGAAAACACAAGCTCACAATAAAGTCAGATGGGAGATCTACAGAAGCAAAGTGTGATAGACAAAGATGCATTCCTATATTAAACAAACAGAAAATAAATCTTTGTTGTTCCACGAGGCAGTTGTAGCCATAGCAAATGGATTAACAAGTGAATTTATGTACTTAACCTTCAACTACCTGCTGCCTGAAATCCCTGTGACATCACTGTAGATTGTTGTAACCAACTAGCTGTGTGGGACATTATCACAATACATATTTAAGTTAATTGACTTGGATTGTAAATGTATTTCGCTGTAGCTACTAGCTTTGTCAACATGCTTTGGTGAAGGCCTATTCTTTCAATGTGATGCATTGAATAGTTGGATATTATTAGACGTCTAAAAGGACAACATTGTTCGTTTTACTGTAATTGCAATGCTAATACCAATTTAGCATAGTGGTAGCACTAACTGCTAACACGGTTTTGATATTCAGAGTCTGGCTGTTAGTGCATGTTCAATGTTATGGGCTAAATTGTACATGCTAGTGTGATAAGGCCTAGGGGAAGATGCTAATTTTATTTAACTTCTAGATCCTTTCATTTTTTACTTAGAGTGAAACTCAATATGTTTTTTGCATACTGTGCGCCAATCACTCTGTGTTTTAAATATTGAGTCACACATTTTAGAACATTGATACATTTCTAAAAGCTACTTTCCTAACAAACATGGTGCAGTTGTAGCAATCGCTACGAGAATGCACTCTGTGTTAGCTGCACAAGGCACTTTGCGGTAGCTTCACGTCTCTGATGATCTGAAAAGCTAAATGATGTCAGAAATGTACACAGCTTTTTCTTGTGTTGAAACAGATCAGCAGGTCAATGTTACTTGGGTTGTGAACGCACAACAGTTGGTTGTTTGTTAGTAGAGTTGCTTTACTGTAATCGCAATGCTAATACCAATTTAGCATAGTGGTAGCACTAACTGCTAACAAGGTTTTGATATTCAGTGTAGGCTGGCTGTAAGTGCTTGCTAGCATGTTCAATGTTATGGGCTTATGCTAGTGTGATAAGGCCTAGGGGAAGATGCTAATGTTATTTAACTTCTAGATCCTTTCATTTTTCGCTTACAGTGAAACTCAATATGTTTTTTGCATACTGTCTGCCAATCACCGTTAGCTGCACAAGTGACTTTGCGGTAGCTTCGCGTCTCTGATCATCTGAAAAGCTAAATGATGTCAGAAATTGGCACAGCTTTTTCTTGTGTTGAAAGAGATCAGCAGGTCAATGTTACTTGGGCTGTGAACGCACCGAACACCAAAACTGCTCCCTGGCGCCGGCTATCTGGCAGCCTCTCTGCGATCCCCTCTCCTATCCGCATGTGGTTGTGTTTGTGCATGTATATGCTCTGTGTGTTTGTGCATGTACAGTATATCCTCCCTGTGTGTGTAATGTGTTTAAACACAACAGAGTGGGGGAAGACATTTCCCTCTGAGTGATGAATACATGATATCATCTTCTTCTTCTTCTTCTTCTTCTACACTGTAAAAAAAGTCCGTGAAATTAACAGGGAAAAGCTGTAAAATCACAACATCAAAAAACTGTAAATAGAGAAACAATGAAGCAGTGTTTAATTTACAGTAATATTTCGTAAAGTACTGAACCAAACAAAACTGTTAAATTCACATTAAGAATATGTTAAAATAATTATATTTCATTGTATAATTTACAGATTACTGTGGTTTGAACACAGAAAAACTGTAATACATAAAACAATACAATACAGTTAAAATTACAACATGACAGTGTTAAAATCATGTTTTTTTATATTTTTTCATTCTTGAATATACTATAATATACTTACTTCTTATTTCTATTTGTTTAATACATATATTTATTTTTAAAATTGGAAATAACCCAGTACTGAGATATTCTTGGAAATTAAATGAGAATCCATAAAACAGCTGGCGTTTGGATTCTGCGGCCGACCGGCTATTTGGAGTGGAATGCAGCCCACGGCAGACAGCCCAAACAGTAATCGAACGCCTCCGAAGGAAACGGCCGCTGAACTGAGACACGCCTACTGAGCAGTATAGTTTGTTTCTGTTATTTCATTGGACTATTTAATTATCGCGGGAGCTGCCACTTTTTGCAGGTTAACGGTTGCGGCTCAGTGTGCGTCAAGTCTGCCTTCCAGCTGTATGTACATGAGCGGAGGATCACATCTGTAGCACTGGTAAGCTAACCTTTTATTTTCTTCAAACTTCAATTATAACACTGTGTGTTGTCAGGACAAAACTAACTTCTGTTTGTGATTGAGTGCATTTTGCAGCAAAACGTTGAGGGTTTATGTTCTGCATTGCATAAGTGTTTTTTCAAATGTGTTGGCGCGAACTGCAAGCAAACAGGTGTGTTGTCAGGACAATGCTAGCTTCTGTTTGTGATTGAGTGCATTTTGCAGTCATAGTTATAACTTCTACTGACCGGGAGTTAATTTAAATAGTCTGGTAACGTTATTGAAGTATCATGCTAAAAGCTGAACTCTTTATTTTCGTTTAATTCATGCTGTTGTGAAGCGGGGGGGTTTGAAGCTACATCTGAGGGGGTTCAAATTTAACGGGCAGTCATGTTAGCGCTAAAAATGATTACCTGCCGTTTTTGCAGGTTAACGGTTACGGCTCAGGGCGCGGCCAAGTCTGTCTCAAGTCTGCCTGCCACGGAGCTGTGTGCACATGAGCGCAGGATCACATCTGTAGCACTGGTAAGCTAACCGTTTATTTTCTTCAAACTTCAATTATAACACGGTGTGTTGTCAGGACAATACTAACTTCTGTTTGTGATTGAGTGCATTTTGCAGCAAAACGTTTATGTTCTGCATTGCATAAGTGTTTTTTCAAATGTGTTGGCGCGAACTGCAAGCAAACAACGGTGTGTTGTCAGGACAATACTAGCTTCTGTTTGTGATTGAGTGCATTTTGCAGTCATAGTTATAACGTCTACTGACCGGGAGTTAATTTAAATAGTCTGGTAACGTTATTGAAGTATCATGCTAAAAGCTGAACTCTTTATTTTCGTTTAATTCATGCTGTTGTGAAGTGGGGGGTTTGAAGCTACATCTGAGGGGGTTCAAAGTTAACTGGCAGTCTACTTTTTTCTGTTCTTTCTGCCACTTCTTTCTCTCTTTTCTGTCTAATTTGAGACGTTTATGTTGCACAATCTTTTTTGTTACTGTAAGCTCGTAAAGGGCTAGTTTGGATGCTTATGGATACTTATCCATAGTCAGTGTATTACTTGCATGTCTTTGGAGGAACAGGCAGGAGTACGGGTACGTATGTAAAGCTGTGGATGGGTGCAGCAGCGAAACGTATTTTAGCCACCTAAAAATTCAGTTTACGTGTACGCTATATTTATAATATTGTCACAAATGTACCCTGCTGCTTCAGTCCCTATCAGAAACAGACTGTATAGCTGTCTGACAGAAAGGTAGAGCTTTGAAAATATTCTTTAATATAGCATACACTAAGAGTAATATTGTTTTAGTTTTTTTGGTGGCTTAACTATGTCCACAGCAGTGCATTGCTTAGCTGTCTGCTGGTTCTCCTCTCTGTTTCTCCAAACTGTAGCTCCTACAACCCCCCTTCAAACAATATGAACTATCCCCTAAAAGCAAGTCAAATTGACATTACATTTATCTCCCCTTAACCTGCAAATACACATACATACATTTTTGTATTGATGGTGAGCAATTTAACAGACCTTAAAATGTGTGCTAAAATTGTTTTGTGAAATATTTCAGGAAGACAAGTCTTGTTTTAATTTAGTTTGAATTGTGTTTTTCTTCTTTTTTAGGACGATCATGCTATTCTTCAAGGCGATTCATGCTGAGTGTGGATCGAAACATAGTACAGGACAACATCCCCTCCTTGGTTTCTGCCCTGTCCATGATGTTTGGGAGCTATTATTGCTTCAACATCGCCTACATCCACCCTGGAGTTTGTCCAGAGGTATGTGTTTTTTGGGATTGGCTTTATCCAACAATTTATTTTATTAAACTGCAACAAATCTAAAGCAGCTGCTTCAGTGAATTGGGGGCTAAGATAATTGTCATTTTGGCTTCAAAATAATAAGATTGATGTGAAGTTTCTTTGTTGTTAGGCAAGCTATTTTATTATTAATTCTGTTGTTTGTTTGTATTTTTATTTTAAGGTGTTTTTTCTCCATCAACCCAGAGAAGGGCACCAAAGTGGAGAAGACACGTGCATCCCGTCTTCAGGTGAACCCGAGAGTCCTCACCTTGATACAGGAACTTTCGGACCATGAGTGGCGTGATGTCTGAATATGGACAGTAAGATCAATGGCATGTAGCGATGTGCCCAAGTTACAGTTTCTTTGATTGTTTAAATCGTAGTTAAAATTTGAAGTGCCTTTTTTTTCCATGTTCTTTTAACTAATTTAAAAAAATGCAATATGTAACTCTCAAAATGTCAAACTATTCTTTTAAGGTCATTGTAAAAGCTCAGGACATCACTGTTGAGTGTAAAAATGTTGATGTGTTACACTCCACTGGGTGGTTTTGTTTTGTTTTCCACTTGGGTTTTTGCTTCTGAAGTGAAGGGTCTCTGCTGACCCTACCTCTTCACCTATCTCACTTAGACACACGCACATGTGTTTTGCAACTGTAGCTTCATCACGTACACACTTCCTTTAGCAATGAACATGTATTCAACTAAGACAATCCCTTATTTTGGCTAAGTTACAGCTCAGTCTGTGGCTGTGACAGTCGAGTATTATATTATACAGGTGCCCACTATAAGAGATGAGACATATAAAGTACTAAAATATTTAAAAACATTATTTCCCATAAATCATTTGATGTGATGCAAGTAACCTCTCAACTTTGTTCAGCTTGAATTTCCTGGACAATGTGAGCTGTTTGTTTATTGTGCAGCCTTAGTTTGTATGTTTTACCAATATGTATGTTGAGAAATGACAGATGTTTTTGATCACTGCTATTATATATATATATAATAAATTCTTGGAAAGGCAAGTTCTTGTTGGAATTTTTTCAACTTTTAATACAGTGGCTCTTGAGGTTTATCTAGCTTTGCATTTTAAATTTTAAGTGCTTAATCTGTGTACCCTGGATTACATTCTTCACATTTCTGGTAATAGTCAAACATATATATATATACGAAGGCAGTGTAGTTTAAATGAAATCTTTCAATCTGAATAGTATAGTATAGGAAAAACATTTTTATATATCAATAATCCTTACAGGCGGTTTTATACTATATATATATATATATATATATATATATATTTGAGATTGCTATTCATAGAACAGTTTTTTCTGCATTTTAATTGTAATAAATACATTTTACAGAAAATTTAAATTGCAGTATTTAGATGTTGCTTTCACTGTAAAACTCGTCATTACTACGGCAAAATACACTAAATTATACACAACTTTTGATTACAATTTGCGGGAAAATTCAGTTAAATTACAGCATTACACTGATGCTTTTACAGTTAAACAGTGTTATTTGTTTGGTATTTTTCTGTAAAATTGAATGGGATTCAATGTACAATAGACAGCAACTGCATGTAAATCTTACTGAAATAATCAGTTTAATAGCAACGTGATCATGCTAATTCAGCAGAAAAGGGCTGTTGAAATGACAGATTTAAAATGTAAATTACAACAGTTTTAAACTGTAAAATATACACGTTGTTCTGTAAAGTTGTTTACAGTTTACCGTATTTTTTACATCATTATTCTGGCAACAAAGCTGCCAGGTTTTTACCGTAAAAACAACGTTTTTTTTTTTACAGTGTACTTAGAAATCATAAGTGAATGGTCACATTAGGTTTGCCTGCAGTGAATGCTGACAGCTATGAGCTAGTTTATAGATGTATCATGGCATAGCCAAATGTCTCCTATATAACCCACAGGCTGTTACTGGTGGGTTATAGTATCATTTTATATCTGAATTGTGCTCTGGTAATTCGCACCCAACATGCTAACAGTCAAGTTTTTTTTTAACTCTATGGTTTTACACAGTTTTTATAACATGAAATTCACATATTTAACAATTAAATCTTCAAATGAATACAAATGTAGCAATAAAGTGAAAGTCAAAATGTGTTAAAATGTAGTTTTTTTTTACTATAATAGGATAGTCAATACCTGTGTTTTTTCAGTTTATCAATGTAAAGTAGTGGTTAAATTAAGCAAAATTACTAAATATTTCTTTCTTTACTCATATATTTTCTTGCAATTATACATTTTTTAAATGAGTATTAACAGTATTTGTTATGTATTTGACAGTTATATATAGCCATAACAAAAGTATTTTTTAGTAAAATTACAGAAAATGCAGCTAATTTTGCCAACAGAAAATCATTTATTTTTACGGTTAGTTTTGTTAAATTCGCATTTAAAAACTGCTGAAAAACAGATAAATAATGTATTCCATTTCTACAGTTTTATTTTGTTAAAATACATGACACATTTCAATAAACCGTTTATTCTTGTAAATTGAATATGATTTTCTGTAATTATGAAATACAATAAAAAAACTGTAATTTTTTTTGGGGAAAAACTGTAAAAAAACATTTTTTTTTTTACAGTGTAGGTGATGACCATGGCGGCGGAGCGTGGCAGCCCATCTGCAGCAGGCTGGGCAGAGAACCTCTGCCCCGCTGCCGTGTGACCGGGCGGCTGCAAATAAACACAGATGTGTTGGGCGTCTCACTCATTGCTCTTCTGCAAGATGCCCTCACCTCACCAGATCAGAGCGATTATTTGGCCGCAGCATCGGCCGAATTAATAGCTTGGTCTACGGTGTGGCCGCCGCTGCTTGCCGTGTGATGTCCCTGGGGGATCACGCCGCATGGCACTTTCCAAAAAGACAGTGATGATCTCCTGGGAGCCCCCGTGTTTACGGAAGGGCTCTTTGGATCGATTTCCTTGGTCACGTGGATGAGGAGTAGTCGCAGCTTGGCGTATGCTGCTTCTTGCTAATCCTCAGAGGACAGAACACTGTCCCACACTCGCCGCCCCGCTGTAAACTCCAGTAAAGGAAGCAGCAGGTGGGCGCGCGCACGTGAGTGGAATAAACCGCAGAAAGTGCTTTCAAAGACGCTATTGCCGGCGTGCTGTTGTCAGAAAACACACCTTGCCTGGTATAATAGCTCCGATTAATGCGTTTCACCGTTGAATGTGAAACGCACCGTTAATACGAAGGCGCGGGGCCCCCGTGAGAGTGGCCGCGGTGCATTCAAGTGCATCCTTGACAGGATGGGGGGGGACCTGCCTAGAGAGAGCTATAGGTGGTGGCTGGCCTCTGACAGAAACTCTGCACATCAACCTTCTAGAGCTACGGGCAGTAGTACTGCTGATACAGCACTGCAAACCCTTACTACAGGGTGCATGTGCTGGTGAGGAGCGACAAACGCACCACAGTGGCTTACATCAACAGGCAGGACGGAGTCAGCTCCGCCGCCTTGTTTAGCGCAGTGGAGAACCTGTGGTTGTGGGCCTCAGAGAATGTTTTTATCTCTGAAGGCCCCCCACATTCCGGGACTGGAGAACAGGGCGGCTGGCCTCATGTCAAGAGGCGGGCCCCTGCCAGACGAATGGTGGTTCTCCCTGGCTCGGCAGGACAATCCAGGACAATCCACCCCTGTCCACCAGATACTGGTGGACAGGGGTGCATGTCTCCACCCCACGATGGGATCTGCCGTTGGTGCTCTTGAGGCTCTGGTCACAGAACCATTTGAGCCTCTGGAGCTCTCCTTCCTGAAGGCACTATCATTGAAAACAGCTTTGCTGCTTGCCTTGACTTTGGCCAAGAGAGTGTGCGAGCTGACCGCTCTGTCGATGCACCCGAGTTGCCTTTTGATTCGGGGTGACCGTAGCGGGGCGACACTCAGACCGAACCCCTCCTTTGTTCCCAAGAACCTAAGGAGTTTGTGGGTCAGTAGGTATCTGACCCCCCCTGGACATAATGCACTTATGTTTTCCCATGCTCCTTAGGGACCCGGGAAACATGGTGTGCAGTAAGCCCCATACAGGGCTGGAGCCTTCCCCACTATTTTCTATGCACACTCTACACGAGGTAAGCGTGTGTGAGTGTGCTCTACCCAGCCAAGTAAGCTGCGGCCCCGACTTCTCCACGGTCTCAACCGGAGGAAAAGAAGTTGCCGTGCAGTGGCTGTTAACCAAAAGCCGGTCAGGGGCAGTGTGATGTGTCGATGTTGTTGGACGACAGGGCGTTTATCCATCAGAGCCTGTGTAAGATATAACGGGGGGTTGTAACCCTAGTTATATAAGCACAGGCGGAGCCCTCTACCTGGGGCCCTGTCCTATGCCGCTCGCTGAAGAGGGTGTAGGATGACAGTCAGGAGGCGTGGCCACCTTATATACGGTGGGCTTGCGCGTGCATTCAGGTAGGCCCGCCCCGAGGGGTCGGCTAAGTTTATAGATATCTCAGTAGGTGAATGCTTGCGTAGCATGATTGAGGGTAGTACCCATAGAGTCCCATAGAGTCCAGTAGAGGGCTCCGCCTGTGCTTATATAACTAGGGTTACAATACGTAACCCCCTGTTTTGGTAGGTGACATGTTCATTCATCACCTTAGCACAAACAATGTACATTATTTTTCCTTAAGCCTGTCAGTGTCAGGACATCGAGTCCACAGTTTCCCTAACAGGAAAAGGACCGGAGCTAGCTTTCGTTCCTGGGTGCGTTGTGCGAGGTGCATCCACCTCCCTGCAGCACATACTCTCCACAGCTGAAGCCTATCAAACAAAACGTTTATCAGGAAACCGTATTACATCTCTCTCCCCCCCCTTCGCTCCTCTCTCTCTCCCCCTTCGCTCCTCTCTCTCTCCCCTCCGGTACACAGCACCGTAAGACGTAGTGTGGAGTTGCATTAGGTAATGCGAGATACGGCTGATACTTGCGCATTAGTTTCTGTTATGGATCAGTATCAACAGTCTTGCCAGTAATGTTACTATATTATCAATACTACTTTAGTTATAGCCTGATATATGATAGCTAACTTTACAATGTTGTGATGTGACTGACGTTAGCTAACATTAACTGTAGCTAACGCCGGTCACTCACCAAGACAGCTGCCCTGTTCTCCACTGATTCTCCTCACACCACAGCTCCATTTCTCGCCGATGGCAGTTATTTCTTCTAATCCTTGGCTGCTCCTGGTCTCTTGGACGCCTAGCAGGCTCATAATTATAATTATATGCATTCGAATATATATTTTCAACCTCTTCTGTGTCAAAACTAGCATTGTGATCCATGTTTATTAATACGTTAGACCGGCCGCTCCCCATGTGACGTCACACGCGGGAGGTCACATGGGGAGTAAAAATGTCTTACAAAAACGACGCCAGATGTCACTGTAGTGTATATTTCTGTATATTTCTTTGAAAATCATTTTCCTACACATTTATTCACTGGTGTGTCTAACCTGCAAGTTGCTCTTTAAACCCTCTTATACTGTCGTATAAACGTTTTTTTTTTTAATTTTTTTTTTGTTATATTTTTCATTAGTTTTACCAAAAATTATTTGATTTAATTGCATTTAAAATAAAAAGTCCAAAGAAATAAATCCTTCCAATCTAGGTATAA